TTCGAAAATTGTTATTGCTGAACTGCTTACCTCTAAAGTCGCATTTATCAATTTAATGTGTAAAATATTTTGGCAGAACTGCTTATCCGTTTTGAGGTCGCATATTTAGTTTTAAAGTTGTTTCTTTTAATTTACCAGAATGACCAAGTGCAGTTTATCAGTAGATTATGCATGGATAAGTTATCTTCCAAGGCGACACGTCCTAATTATAAAGACGGTAGAAAAAATTCTCATGACCGCAAAGCGGAATACTATCTTCTCAGTAGAATGTGACTGCAGTTAGACGTTTCAATGGGTGCGCGTCAGGGGATGTTCGTACTCTATACTTCTGATGTTACTGCTGTATCCAGTAATAAATGACAAACAGGGTTTCACGGCTGCAGGTTCTTCCATATTTATGCCACGACAACGTTGTTCAGCTAATCCAACGCTGGCAACGATATATACGTGTAAGCACCATTTTTTCTGTTAAAGCTTAGGCAATAACTTAGGCAAACTCTTGTCGTTTGACTCCAAATTTTGGGATACCATAAAGCCATATGCATATTCCACTGCGTTTTTCAGCTTTGCGACACTGCATTTCTGATTTAGGTACACAGAAGAAGCGGCACTTTTCTATCGGATGGCGCTAACAGCGAAGTTTGATTAGAAAAAAGACGGAGAAACAAATTATGGATAAAACTTGTATAATTAATAGCCAACTTAATTATTAGCACTTTCTCTTATGATACTGGATTTAATAACTTAATTATTATGACAAGATTTCAGCTACACACGCCAAAACCAGTTTGAGAAGTCACAGCTGCGATGGTTTGGGAATATGTTGTGAATGCCTTCCGAAAGGAAGGCGAAGCAACTAATTCTTGCACAACCGACCGGCGGAAGGCCCATGGGACGGCCAAGATTAACCGGGTGCAAATACATGGAAGGAGTCTGTTCGAGACTCCAGTTGTCTTGTGCTGAAGCTCAGACTCTGGCACAGGATCAGGAAAGTTACAAGTACTGTCTGACGGGCCTGCCTCCTCGACCTGATGACGAAACATCAAAGCATCGATTCTACGACCATTTCACAGTGAGGTCGTTTGATCGTTTGTTCAGTGATTACGTGGATATCACGGAATCGCAGCGGGTACAAAGTTGTTTCACGTTTCTGTTTCCTCACGGACTCCCATAAGCCAGATTTTGTCCTCCGTTGCCGGTTCACCAGGCAAAGTTTGATAATTTAAGGAATGCTACCGCATCCGTCAAGGTATTCACCACTTTCTTTCATTCTCACAGCAGCACAGCAAGAGACGTGCAACAAATATCTAATGATACTTCACATAGATAAAAGTCGATCGCATCACTTGCAGTTATTCCAAACATATTTGTAAGTTACTGGGACAAGTAACTCTGACAAAATAATTTACTGTAGAAACGGATCGAAGTAGGTTGTTGGTGTACGAACAAGTTTTTGGTGGATCAAACAAAATGCGCCTACATAATGCAGGTGTTCAAATATAATGGAGCATTAGCCCAGAGAAAAAACGAAACGGGGTGACTACACTGTGTGAATCCGTAAAAGTGACAGAAGAAAACCAGTTTTCACTCTTTTTTGAGGAGATGCAAAGGCTGATGGCAAGAAACAGAAATTAGCGCTGAACCATCAAGTTCATTAAATCTGTGCTACAAAAGAACACAATCATGAAAGTGTAACAGTGACCGACATTTGAACGGTTACTAGCATTCCACTTTTTCTAGCCATGACCCTTCTTCCAGCATACTTAAAACGAGATACACCGCGATGCTGCAAAGCGCCATATGTTGCAGTGTGTAGTGATTGTGAAGTAACTGTTTTGTACACGTTCTTCGTACATTGCAGAATTCGCTGTTCATAATTCACAAGTATAAGGCGTTATTCTTGTTCCTGTTCGAGATCTATTGCACGTTCCATCAGCAGAGTCTACCGGCATTTTGCCATTATAATAAGCCATTCACGTAGTCTTCATAATTCGACTGGTAAGAAGCACAGCAAAACTTTATTTTTCTAAGTGACCTAAAAAACTATCACTATAAGTTAAAACCCATTGTTATTTAATTTTATCCATCGTTGCAGAGCGTAATAAAGGTAGCATTTTCGGCAATCTATCGCTTTCAGGATAACAGAAGCCATTGACTGAAGTTTTCTGTAAAATGGAAGCTTGAAAAATTCTGCTTCAACGCAAATATACCTTAATGTATGAAATGCACAGGGCTCTCTCGGCGTTGTCAAAGGCAGTTGCAGGCGGCATTGCAGGATTATGCGTGAGCACGTACATTTCAACAGGTATGTATATCTGAAGGTAGTTTAGGAAAACCGGAAGATAGTCGATGTCTTTTCCTGGGTTTGGAGTATAGACCGTGACGTTTCCCATTATCATAAAGCCGAGCACGTCGTATGGGAGACCTTAAAAAATTTTCTTCAATTTCTCGCCTGACTGGAATCGTATAACGCATAAGATAAATATAGACAAAAGATGAAAATATGCATGTAGATGAATATAAACATTATGTTGCGGACTGATAATTTGAGCAGACCGAACAGTAAATGGTACACTAAAATATAAGTGAGTTTTCTTAATAGAAGCGCAGTAGAGAGGGTGGGTTATTCTTGCCTATGCTAACCACACTGTGAACTGATTATCCAGTAGGATTCATTAAGAGTATAGTACCGGAAGAATATATTGTTCTCCTATGTAACACTACTTGTTTATCATCTTGGCATTTACTGTTCGATAGGACAAAAATGTGTGCGGGTGGGAAAAGTTACACAGTGACAAAGGGATCGCTTCGAACTTCCGAGATGCCGGGTTCAAATTCTGAGAAAATACAGTCATTGTATTAAAAACATGAATTCCCTTGGCCAGGAGTTAACTCCAAGCTACGTCGGTGCAACCAGCCGAGAAACGCGTAGCATG